GTATTTCCATCCCTGACTGTAAGGGCCTTAGTTGCAGAAATATTGCGTATGATGAACCCTGTGCAGGGATCTTTGCTTGTTGATGTTGTGAGTAATTGTTTCCTGGAAGAGAGTGAGGCTCCAGCACTTGGGGAAACACCCTGTGTGAACTTGTGATGTTGAGATCCTGAAGGACAGAGGAGACCTCAGTGTAGAATCAAACAGCCCTGAGCCTTGTAGAACTGAGTGGGGCTTTCAGGTGTTTGAGGTTCAGAAGCCTCCAGCAGGACAGCCAGGGTACACTGGGGAAGGGGCACTTCCAGAAGACACCAGTGCACTGAGAGCAGCAGGGTCTCAGCTCAAAGGGGAGGCCTCTGGCTGCCTGTGGTGATGGTGCTGAGCTGCTTTCACACAGGTTGTTCAGCTTATTCTTGTTAATTAATGTAAGACAGTAACCTCTGAATTTAAAGTGACCTGGATTTAGGCATGAGGCTGAGCCTGTCTTCTGCTTGCCTTCCCAAAGCCAGGACCTACCAGCCTGCCTGGGTCTGCTGGCTCACACTGCTTGCTAGAGAACATCTGGGATAAAAAAGCAGCTGGATCTTGGCAAATGCAAACACCTGAATCTTGCAAGGCCTTGGCCAAGGAGGGGTGAGACAGGAAGGTGAAGAGCTGCTGGACAGCAGCAGGCCACAGCTTCCTGACTGTCCTACTTACTTCTGGGGAGGTGATCAAGTTAATGCCTGGAATTACTGAGGAAAGGGCCCCACCACTATGGGAGCACATCCCATGAGAGCATCTCTCATCCAGTGTTGCACAACAGGTTGATGCTGGGTTCAGGCTCCACAGTGATCCCATGGGAATGCTGGCTCCCTGAGCAGCAGGGAAGGGGGCTCTGCCTTTCCATGGTCAGAAGTGGTGGATCTCAGAAAGTGTCTGTGGCTTTTTGGCCATGAGAGCATGCAGGGGGCTGGCTGAAAGAGGGATGCAGTGAAATGAGCCTGACTTGGCTGCTTGCCTTGAAGGCCCATATCTCTGCAGTGAGCAGGATGAGCTTCAGGTTCAGAGGACAATGGGGTCCAAGGCATCATCATTCAGCTGTGCATCCTGTGCCTCTGTCAGGTGGATCATGGACTGTGCTGACTTGGAAAAGAGGAGGGACACTAAGATAAACCTCACCTGTCTTGTGGCAGAGATCCTGCCAGGTTTATAAACCTGGAACAGATGGGAGAAGGGCAAGTTGTTCACATGCTGAACTTCTTCCCTTGGTCTTCAGCCAAGTCCAGCTGAACTCTGGTTTTTCGAGTTCTGTCCCTACATGTCCATGAGTGCTTGTTTATGTCTCTTGGGTAGCTCAATGCTGCTTCCATCACCCATGCTCTTAATTTTAGCATTTAAACTCAATCCAGAATCCCCCATCCAGCCAGTCTGGCCTCCTGTGGTATCTTCTTGACTTCTGACACATGAGGACGGATCGTTCTTTTCCTCATTCTTCTCCACTGGTTAATCAGCAATTCAGGTGGCTGCTTCACTTCTACCTCAGCTCATTTGTGCCTCTCCATGCTGAAAAAGCCTCATTCCTTCCACCCTCCTCACAGAAGATACACTCCAGGCCTCAAACATCTTCATGACCCTCCTCTGAACTCTTGACAGTTCAACAATTGCTCTTGCACTGTGAGGTCCAAACCTGGACCCAGTTCTGAGATGGGATCTAACGAGTGCTGAGTTAAGGGAACAGTCACTCCCTTTAACCAGGTGCGCTTCTGTTAATTCAGCCAGGAATGTTCACCACAGCCAGGACACCCTGTAGGCATCTGGCCTGTTGTCCAACAGGACCTCCAGGTCCTTCTCAGCAGAGCCAGTCAGTCCAGATTCAGCCCCATTCCCATGGTTTCCTTTTCCATATCTCCCTTTTTTCTCCCTCCCGTGCTTACCTGGTGGGGTCTTTGCTTGTATTGACTCTGGGAAAGTAATAAGGCAAAGAGTGTGGGGACTTGATGCAGAATTCAAAGAAAGGAGGAAAATTCAACTTTAATACAAACCAAATGCTGGGAATGTGGGAGAAGGACTGACCACTGTGGAAGTGGGGGAAAAGCTTCTGGAAAGTGAAAACCTGGATTTTCTAGTAGAGACTTGTGAAGGCAATGATGGGAGGCAAAGGGTGTGAAAGACCCTTTTGCTGGGGGAAAAGCAGTGTTGTGTTTGGTGGGGTTGAATGAGAAATGGGAAGGTAAAATGAAGAGAAACCCAAGGAGAGTTTGGGAATTGTACAGCCATGTTTGCACATTGAGTGGAAGAGAAGAAGCTGCATGGGGTGGAGCACCAAGAGCCAGGGGGAGTGTGGGGAGACCCCCACGCCCACGTTGTGCTGCCCCCAGGCAGCAGCAGAAAGCAGCAGCTCCCCGGCTCTTTAGGGACACCGTGGTGGTCACAGTGACAAAGCAGGTGGGATCCCCTTCTGCACACCTCGAGCAGCTGCCCCAGGATCACAAGGGCACAAGGGCAGTGGCAGCAGAGGAGGCACCTCCAGCCCGGGCTGCAGCGGCTCCTCCTGAAGGAAACACAGAGCTCGTGGGTGGGTGGACTTTTAGTTGCCCCTTACAACAGTTCCCAACAGTAAAGAGGACATCAAACTTGTATTTTGGAGGTGCAGATAAAAAAATTGTGCATTCCTAAATGTTTTGCTTGACTTTCAGAAATGTCAGTGAAGGAGGCGCGGGGTTCCCTGTCCCTTCCCCCGCGAAACTGTCAATATTCTGCCCTCCCGTGGAGCAAAACACGAGAGCCAGAGCTGCTTCGGGATCTAAAGAACAAACGCTCCTCGCGGCTTCGAGCTGAGCCAAGAACCGGGCGGGAGAGCCCCGGGAGCCCCGGCGTGTGCGGGTCCTGCGGGACCGGCCCCGCGTGTCACAGCGAGGCCGGAGGGTCCGTCCTTTAACAACGCAAGGTTTATTGTTTTCCAATTAAATGTGTATTTTCAATTCAGAAATTCGATTTTAAGCAATGAAACGGATTTGCTCAGCGGGCTGGGCCGTGTCCTCGCTGCTTCTTCAGAGAAGGCAAAAATCCGCTTTTATTTCAGCAAAATCGCTTGATCGGCTCCTAATGATCCGTCCGCCCAACGGTGAAACCGCGGCCAAGGAACAGGGAGGTTTTAATTCGCGGGGAAGGAGCCGCGGGCGGGGGAGCCCGAGAGCCCCGCGCGCCTCGTCCGTTCGTCCGCGCACCGGGGGTCGAACCGGGGGCTCCGA